GCTACATAAATGATGTAAATCTAGAGTCAGGTGGAATTTCTCGCCACATATGTTATAAGTAATAGTCTCCAAATTCCATGAACTAAGATAAAAAAAAGTGTATTCACAGCCTGTCATGAGGGATTTTATTACTAACGTTTCTTTTATTTATATGTTTGACAGTTTACACTGCGTCCAATTCACTAGTCAAGTCATTATAGAACCTATAGTCCACTAATCTGAATGCGCTATTTCTCCTCATTTTGTGCTATTCAATTTTATAAAATAACACTGTTGGTTAGGTTGAAGTGATCCGCTCAAGTAATTAAAAATTTGCCAAATTCTGGATATTCTGAATTGCTATGTTAATAGAGTAAATCTAGGCCCATTGAAATTTTCTATGTCACAAAATAGAGCGTTAGGAACAGATGGGCATCATTGCTACAGTGGGGTTTCGTTTGCTGTGTTTTCTTGACAGGATTCCTTAATAAGGAATCGGTTTAGGATCCGTGTCAACTGCATTCAGGAACGTTGATTGGGTCAGAATGGAGTTCCCATGGGTCAATGTGATGTACTTTACTTACCAAAAAGAGATGCAAATTGTGCTCTCGGATTCCTTGTTAAAAAGTACCTCAACTCACACTCCGCTTTGGGTAACTGAATACACCAGGCTTCATAAAGCAATGAAACTTGATTGAATCACTTAAAAGGTTACACAGAACTATTTTCCCCACATGGAAAGATGAAATTCAGGGTTGAAATGAACTGCAGTGTTTCCATTTGGATATAAATACTTTGGTAGCACTTTCCAATTCCTACCTGAACTTTCAACAGCATACGAAAACCATAGCTAACTAAATCACTCTTAAGAAAACAACCTTAGATTTCTTTCACGATTGTTAAAAGCTTGGATCGCACATCCCCTCCTCAATTTACTCCTTTTTCCACCAAGAACAAATTCCTTGGCATTGCTTGATGGCTCATTGATCTAAATTCTGGAATCCTACCAATTCCCCTTCTTTGAATGCTTTTTACTAGCTCTATTGGACTGAAATTCCTCTCCCTGAGGACCAGCCAAGTTGCTACACTGAGCAGTTAAGAAGAATTTCTCACTTATAATCCTTTCGTTCCTACCTTAACTGAAGCTTGGGCTCAGGACTCCACACGCAGTCTCACCAGTGCTTTTCAGCATTTCAGTTGGGACCACTAGGCGCCAATGGTTAAGTTGAATGAACTTTTTCATTGCTTGTTTACAATGGGAAATCTATTAGGGAAAGATTGATGCTGTTAAGTGCCAGCCTGGCTCAGTGATAGCACTCTCGCCTCTGAATTGTAAGCTTGTGGGATCAAGTCCCTCATCGGGACTTAAATAATAATAATAATCCTTGCATTTGATATAGAGCTTTTAATGTCTTCTAGACGTCTCAAAGCGCTTCACAGAATATACTGTAAAGTGAATTGACTGTATATTTTTGTGGGCGAACGCGGCAGCCAATTTGCGCGCAGCAATGTTCCACAAACAGTCGTGGATTGAAAATGACCAATTTATTATTGTTTTTGGTTTTGGAGGGATTATTATTAGGCGTGTAGAGTAAGGAAACTTGCTCAAGGTTTCGCCCTGCTTGGAATTGAACTCAGGTCTCTCGCTTGCAAAGCGAGTGCTCTAACCATTGAGCTACAGGACTCTAAACTCACATAGTCTAATCTGACACTCCAGTGCAGTGCTAGGGGAGGTGTACAACTCAACATTGTCAGAGGTGCCGTCTTTTGGATGAGACATTAAAACTGAAGACCAGTCTGCCTATACAGGTAGATGTTATAGATCCCATGGCATTATACAAAAAGTGAAAGAAGTTTCATCCAGTGTCCTGGCCAACAATATAAAATTGGTCGTTCTCTCCATGGCTACTTGTGGGACATTGCTGAATGCAAATTGACTGCTGCATTGACTTACAAATACTTCACTTTACAGTAAGTCCTATGAAGTACTTTGAGACGTTTCAACGACATACTAAGGTGCTAAATCAAACGCAATAATTATTATTATTACAAGGTTACTAGTGTTACGCATTTGCTTATGATCAACCCCAGTATTATTTCCCTGGTATTCTTGTATCCTATGGATTTACTTCTACGTCACAAATATTCTATTTGTTGTGGCAACTCATCCCATATGGTGTGTCAAGACTTTTGATGTTTAAATTAGAGAAGTTTTGACACTGTGTTTCTCTCGCAATCTCCTGCAGTGCCGGTTAAAAACTCATCCTTTCTATGATGAAACACTCCTGCTCTGCTTCTCCTTCAGTGCTGCAGCACACCAATGTGCCAATGTTCTGCTCCTATTTCCATAAAGGAACATTGGTGCCTACACACGAGTATTAGAGGATCTAATCAATGTTCACTTAGATGCAGAGCTCGAACATTCTTTAGCTTAAACCTATTTGGCTAAAATTATAAATTTATTCTGAACTTTAGTACCTTTAAGATTTGCAAATAGTCTTTATCTTTGTGCTTGGGAGCTGTATTAAAGAGCTCACTCTAAACAGTAGAGAATGGTTCCGGACATTTATTTTTCAGTGACCTCATGTGAATTGAGCTGCCTGTCATTTGTCTCAGTCTGAGCCAGGTATTTATTGGGTGACTTACTGTCAATCGAACATTTATTTGCTCCGGTTCTCAAGGCTGAAGGAAGAGTTCAGTCCGATAGTGGGATCACACCACAGTGTTTGTGGAGTCCTGTAGCTCAGTGGTTAGAGCACTCGCTTTGCAAGTGAGAGACCTGAGTTCATTTCCAGGCAGTCAGGGCGAAACCTTGGGCAAGTTTCCTTACTCCACACGCCTAATAATAATCCCTCCAAAAAAAACTAAAAACAATAATTAAATTGGTCATTTTCAATCTACGACTGTTTGTGGGACATTGCTGTGCGCAATTGGCTGCCGCGTTCGCCCACAAATATACAGTCAATTCACTTTACTGTGTGTTCTGTGAAGCGCTTTGGGACGTCCTCCCGACGTGAAAAGCGCTATATCAAATGCAAGGATTATTATTATTATTATTTGTTAATTGGTTGACACCACTGTTCTGAGTGAAACAATCTCAGGGAACGCATATCCAATTGTCACAGAGAGCAGCAGATGTAACAGAAAACACATGTTTGTTTGTGGGGCAACACTGAAGAGCAGATCAGCAGAGAGGTCAGAAGGGATTTTCAAGCAACAAAGTGTTGCTTGAGTCTTGGGTGATTTGGGTTTTAGAATAAATATTAAAAAGAGTCATTTTATTCAAAAAGAGTTGCAAGGCTCACTGATATCTCAGTGGAGCTAATGCACTACCTGGTTTGATGCCAAGCCAGAATGTACAGGAAGGATCCCAGGTCTAATTTCTGTGCTGGCTTTACTGATCTCAGTTAGGCCCATGGTGAGGGTAATAATAATAATAATAATAATAAGACTTGCATTTGATATAGCACCATATCCAATCGTCAAAACATCTCAAAGGGCTTCACAGGATATACTGTAAATTGTTTGACTGTGTATTTTGTTGGTGAAATGCTGCAACCAATTGGACACAGCAATGTCCCACAAATAGCCATAGAGCGAGTGATCAATTTTATTTGGGGAATTTGTTGGCAGATCGCAATGACCCTGAAAATTTCTGCTCTTAAACTGGATTGCATCAGAGCGAGGATCCTACGATGTTGATGGTGTGACATCCGTCCAATGTCACAATAAAGGAATCTAGTTAGAAATCACCACATGGGAGTTGAATGCTCCAATGTTCCAAACTACCCAAATGCCTTAAGCAGAATATTTATAAAAAAAACTGTTCTAATCTGTCTGTTTCTTTCTTGTATAATGGGGGGTGGGGGAGGGAATTATTTTTGTTTAAACAATGAGCAGTAGAATTAACTTGTAAGGAGTTAATGTCCCCAAGTGTGTGGGCTTGTTGAATTGACATTGGGAGAGATAGCCCTCGTTTGATAATTCAGTTCAGCCAATCTGTCAGATTCCGGGTCTTCTCCAAGCCAATTCCTCCAATTATGTCAGCATCACTCACTGTTTAAATAAAACCTCAGCAGGAATGGGAAGAAAAGACACTTAAATAAAAGAAAACTTAGTGCTGGTGAAACTTTCCTCCTTTCCCTTTTTAACTTTGTACCATCAGGTCAGCAGTTTAACAGCCAGCAAATGTGACCATTAAACAATTTATAAAGCACTCTTCATCAGGGGTAACACCTCAAGGCAGTTTACAGTGTGGTTGGGTGCTGAACAAGAGGGAAGAAGAGATGGGAGGTGGCCGTGGGTTTGTTTCAAGAGGTAGGATTTGAGGTGAGACTTAGTGAGGGGGAAGAGACAGAGTGGTAGAGAGAAGGAGTTCTTGCAGTGAGGGGCATAGGAAATGAAGGCTTGGCCACTGATGCTCCAGTTAGCTGATCAGAGGGGGCACATGGAGGAAGGGTGAGGCAAGGTCAGAGAGATAAGGAGGTGCCAGGGAAGCCTCATTAACAGCAGCCCTAGCAGGAATACATTGGATTTCAAATGACAGTCTGAGGTTGAAACTTCAGACCTGACTGAAGTCTGATTGAAATGAGTTTCAGTAGGTCTCTTTAAAAGGTTAGCTTGGTCACCAAATGTGGTGCTGAAGCCAAGGAAGATTCTGTATCAGGGTCCCAAGTTAAATTACTTGTCTGAAAGACAGTATCTTCGACAATGCAACTCTTCCCAGGACTGCACTGGGGCTCCCAGTCAGTCATTAAAACACACATCCTTGTCTATGCCCTAATAAGTAAGGAATATTATACTAAACAGATCATAAGTGTTTGGTTATATTTTAAAAGTATACTCATTAAAAATCTTAAACACAGTATGTATATAAGCTTACACAGGTTCCCTAAAAAATATATGAATTGTTTCCCACCATCTCCTTTATTCTCTGCAGAGGAGAGGTAAAGGAGCCACATTGCACGTCTTCATTTTGCATTCATTTTAAAACTCCTGACGTTTGGAATTTCATATTTTAGGGCCATCGTTTTGGTGTCTTCTGGACATCGTTCCGATCAAGAATGAAAAGGGGGAAGTGGTGCTGTTCCTGGCTTCACACAAGGACATCACGGACAAGAAGATCAAGGGCGCATCAGGAAACAGTAAAGACTCAGGTGAGTAGCAGGGGTTGTGGCTGGCAAACACTGTGTGAATATGAATTCCTGAGAGTGCAACACAGAAATACTGTACTTTCCAATCGATCTATTGAAAGCAGCTGGAGGCTGTGGTTGATGCAGACTCATTAACATTGTTAGGTTTCTGCTATCACCTACTGTGTTTGGAAGCTAAGCATGTAAGAACATTTTTTTCTTTGAACGACTGTCAAGCAGAGTGGGTGCCTCCAGGTCTGTCGTTTAAACCACCAGATGCTGCCCAGCTCAACCTTGAGCTTGTTTGGCACAAGTGAAGCATGTGGTAGGTGCACAGACACACCCGAGACTGGCTTTAAATGGGATTGAAAAAGGAAACCCACAACAATACTTTAGTGTACACTGAATCAGCGGAACAAGAGGACACAAGTTTAGAGTCACAAAGGGTAATTTCAGGACAACAACAAATTGCATTTTTATAGCGCCCCTCGTAGAGTGTAGCGTCCCAAGCTGGGGGGGGGGGGGGGGGGGCGGGCGGAAGGAGGAGGTGACTGCAGGCAAAGGCAAAATGGAAGGTTGTCAGCGTGACCTGAAGATGAGGAAGGAGGGGGAAATGCGAAGGGATGGAGGACGAGTGTTCCAGAGTTTCAGGGCGGAGTGGCTGAAAGCACGGCCGCTGATGGATAGACGCCAAGATGTTTTTCTTTCCTCAGAGGATAATTAATGCCTGGAACAGGTTGGATGGTTAAAGCCAGGACATTGGACTTATTCAAAAAGCAGTTTGATGCTGTGATGAGACAACAGAAGGATAGGTATTCGAGAAGGATGAGGACAGATAGATCAAGGGGCCTTCTTCATCTGAACCAATCTTGTTATCTTCTCCAGAGATGGGCTGGAGGGAGGGAGGTCATTAGATGGATTACAAAAAGCTATTCTCTTAGTATTTAAAATGATTATTTTGAATTCCCTTCTTTGAATTGAAGATATTCAAAGCCAAGAAAACCAACATTAAAATATTCTTGAAGAAGGGATCAACCCAACAACAACTTGCATTTATATAGAGCCGTGATGGTACAATTTTGAATTACAAGACTGGTCTCTTCCATGGAATGCCATTGATATGGATATGATGTCTGTTTTACTGGGATCTCTCCCTCTCCATTATAGATGTGTCATCTGATATATGTGAGAATAGACAATGCAAAGTGCCTAGGATCTCTGGTTAGGATGACTTTTCATTGAACAAACACTCTCCCACTCTGCTCTTTGGAGGATAGACTTGCATCAATTCAAAGGCAGATCGGAAAGGATTTTGAAGGTTGAAGTAACAGTGTATGCTCCTTAATTTCAATCCTAAAAAATTACAGAAGTAAAATTATTTGCAAGAAGCTCCATGGATCTTCATCAAATGCTATGGTCATGTTCCTTGGAGGATAAGCCTTTCACTTTTTATTGAAGTTGGTTATGGTGAATATTATTTATAATGTCAATGTAACAGCATGTATAAAACGTATCTGCTGCTGGCGTCTGGTTGCTCGGCCTAAGCCAGTGTGAGTGGGGAAACTTAGAAAATAGGGGAGAGGGAGACAGATTTGTTCTTTAAGGCAACTAACTAATCCTGGTATAAATGTAGGGCCCTGTTTTTCTGAGGAATGGAGTGTGCAGAAGTGTAGAATTTATTGCTTGACGGGTATGTGTATATCAGTAAAATATTCTTTCCCTGACTCCGCGTGAATTGCTAAAACTGGATTAAACCGCTGCAATGAACCTGGTTAGGTTTCCTTCTCAAAATTGGTTTTATATCTATTAGCCATTCAATTTGGTGTATGACTTATGAGGCAATTTTTTGAGGAACGCTGAATGCCTTTGTGTGTGAGTTGCCAAGGAGCTTTCTTGTTGAGGGCATACATTTCCCTGATGACCGAGAGCATCTTCTGACTCCAGCAATTAGCACCAGTTGGGGGCACCGTGTCAATGTCTAAATGTGGAGTTGATGAGATTACACACAGAGAAGCTATGAGAAAACCAGCAAAGAGTGCACGTGGAAGAGTCAATCCAATTTCAATGTAAAAGCCACTGTCAAAGCAAATGCAACGGGGAGAGCCCAAAGTGGCTCAATACTACAGCCGTGTCAAGATAGAATGGATAGAGTTCAAAATCCTCGTGCTTGCCTTCAAGGCACTCCACGGCCTTGCTCCTCCCTCCCTCTGCAACCTGCTGACCCCATATGAATCTGTCGGCTCCCGCTGCTCAGCAGGCTGTGACCTGCTCCATGTTCCCCGCCGGGTCCGCCCCACCATCGGCGGTCTCGCCTTCAGCCTTTCTTGCCCCCACCCTATGGAGCTCCATCCCACATTCCCTCGCCTCGCTCCCTCCCTTGCTTCCTTCAAGGTGCGTCTCAACACCCTCCCTTTCGACCGTGCCTTTGGCCACCCTCCTATCCTCTCTGCCCTCCACCCTCCCTGATCCAACCCCCCCCACCCCACCAGCTCAGGTCCAAATCCCTAATCCCTGACTGTTCAGCGTCTTGGGACGGCCTCCCGACGTGAATAGGTGCTATACAAGTGTAATTTTGTTGTCGTATCATGGCAAGAACCATCCAGTTTTCAAGTGTCGGTATCATCCAACATTAGACCTTCATCCCATTCCAAAGCTTTAAAGAAACAGTGGTTCTAACCCAAAGTTGCAAAACTCTGAAAACTGATTAAGTAAGTTGCCAAATTTGTATCCGATGTAGGTGAGCAGCAATCATTTTGTGTCCGTGGTTGATCTAAGGTTATAATGTGCCCACTAAATGGGCTTCTAAATGTTAGAGTGAGCAAACACGCTTACCCAACAAAATGCACAGTAACTGTACCTCACAGTAAAATCCTGTGAAGCGCTTTGAGATGTCCCCTGACATGAAATATATATATATATATATCGAAGACATGAATTATTATTGTTGTTGTCATTATTGTTAGTATTATTATTATTATCCTTATTCAATTAAATCGAGCTTTGTGTAAGTGTTGAGGAAGTAAATTGGTCTCACCATGCATCACTGTCTTGTGAACAAGTGCTGCATAACTTATTTTTTCACATTTCCTAGCAGAGTCGCTTCTTTTCCTCACCAGAAGCACATCCAAAATGTACAAGGACCAAAGGAGGGTTTGTTACCTAAAGCTGTACTTTTTATGCATTTTGATGAAAAAGAAGTGATTAAACTTTAAAATCATAGCATTGGACAGAGAGAGGGAGAGAGACAAACAAATGGACAGAGATTCAGAGGGTCAATGTCTCAGACACATCCAAGGGTACCTGCAGAATGCGCTATTTGAACATAAATTTCTCAATATCGCAAATTACCCCCTTCTCTTTCCTCCTTCCCCTTCTTCAAAGCACTATATCAAATGGAAGAATCATTACCTCCCTCCACTGCAAACCTATCCACTTCCCTCTTAAAACTGTCCAGTCTATCAGACCGTACTGCCTCACTAGGCAAACTGTGAGAGACCAGACCTGAAGTGGCAAATGATTGGCAGAAACCTGAAAATATCTGGGTTCAAAAATAAATTGCTGCAGAAATAAATTTCTGCCATTAGTTGAATCATTTATTCATAATCTGCAGCTCTCCGTTTTACAAAATTCATTCAGAAAAGTCATTCATTCCATTCTGTCTGCGCTATTTAATTATTTGCTGATTATTCATCAATAAATCATTCGAATCAGTCCGTATTGTAAATAGCTGCTTAAACCAGTTAGACTGTTATATTTTCAGTAAAATTCAATCTGTCATTGATTCAGTTATTTAAATTAAGTCAGAAGGGAAATAACATGATATAGTTTAATGATACATTTTTTAATCTCTAATCAGAAATTGCAGAAACATGGTTCAAAAATGGTTCGTCCAGTTCAAATCCGTACAGGTAGCATCGTGTAGTAGTAGTACTGTGGGATCCTGGCAGTAAAGCTGCTTCATGAAGTGGCTATGTGTTCTGAACCCAGGAACAATGAAGAATGATTCAGGTATCAGAGGATTGAGAACCAGGGTTAGGGACGAGAGTTAGTACTAGGGCGGGAAAATGCCAGAGCTGGTTCTGGAGTGAAATACTGGATTCAGATACTGGATTTAGATTAATGGACTTAGATGCTGGAGTTAGATAGGGAATTCCAGTACAGGAGATAAGTATGAGAGTTACGTACAGGAGTTACATATGGGAGTTAGGTACAGGAGTTAGGAATTGGAGTTGGGTACCATTGCAGTGAAGTACCAGCTGGTGTTGGAGTTAGGCACTTGAATTAGGTACTGGAGTTAAATACTGAAGTTAGGTACAGGAGATAAGTTTATTGGGAAATAATAGTCTGTGGAGATTTTAATGTTTGTGAAGGGAATGGGGGTTGGGTATGGGGGAGAGGAAGAATTATCTGCAAATATAATCCGCATTGCCTAAATCCATGTTACTATCCAGCAGCCTACCTTTGAGAATTCCCACTGGTTGGTAAAATGAAATAAAAGTTGGCATCTCATTATAATCTGAATATAGATTAATGAGGTTTGATGCCAGCAAGCTACCCATTAATAAAATATGTCCAATATTTTGTTAGCTAACTGCACGAAAAAATGTCTGCATCCAATAGTTTTAATTAACAAAAATGTCCAGAAGCCCTGACATTGAGCTTGGCAGTAGATAACAGAGATTGATAATTATTCAGAGCATCAACTTCCATAGCACACTTTAGAGTTGGACCCACCAAAAAAAGGCATCTGTCACAATATCAACGAGATTGGAATGGCCTCTTTCGAAAACTCAAGAGTAGGTGTTAGCCAGTTATTTCGCCTTACCAGGGCACAGGCAGAAACGGAAGAGTTTGCATACTCTCACCACTCTCCTCTGCTCTTGGAAATTCACAGGTCAAAGAGCAGAGGTCAAAGCATCATGTCTGAAATTGATCCGAGCTGCAAAAAACTGCCCCTTTAAGAGTAAGCCAGTCCCTCTCAAACCAGGCGGAAAATTCCAATTTCATTTTCGGGGCTTTCCATT